TATTTGAAAAAATATATATTGAAATATTAAAATAAAATCTTGAGCTTTGAAGCTAAACTATGTCATTAAAAATGCATGCATGTAGAACATGATTTTTCAAAAATTAATTATAGATTTAGATATTATTTAGCACCACATATAGTGCACTTATAGCCTAAAAATTCAAAAATTTTGTAATAGTTTAAATGTATTGTAAATTAAATATTTTTAGGAATAATTTATTGAATGCTCTATTATTTAAAACTTTAAAAAATAAAATTTTTATGATTTAAAAAAATTATGTCAATAATATTATTTTCAATAAGTAATTTGATAAACAGGATAGCTAAGTATTCCATCACACAAATTGAACATATATATCTATATATATATATATATATATATATATATCCCATATTTCACAAATTATTTGAATTTGGAATGATATTTTAGCATTTTTTAACATTTTTAAAAGTCTTTTTTTAATAAACCAAAATTACACATCAAGCAATAAAAAGATATCCCCTTCTTTACATAATCACATCAATATTTCACATTCTGTTATTAAGCATATGTATAAAACTTTTAAATAATATGCGATGATGTTTAAGCAACTTTCTAGTTTGTAGAACAATGAAAGATTAAAATTTTAAAGATCTAAATATATTAACAAACTTATGATAAATTCAAAACCATATATTGCATGTATTTAACTATGGTACTTAATTAGATTTTTTACAGAAAAGATTCCATTTTCAAAAAAATTAATATAAATCATAATTTATGTTTAAAATTAATTTAAAATTAAAATATATATATATATATATATATATATCTTGGTAATTGTGATATATTAATTTATATCAAAATTTAATTCAAAGAGATGATTAAATATTTAAAGCCATCAATATTATATATTTATATAGTTATTTTATAATTTTTTAGATATTAAAATATGTGTTTATCCAATCCGGCATAAATTATGAGCTAACATCAAATAGATATGGTGTTTTTATTGCAATTGGTAAAGTAAATAAATTTTTACTCATGCATAGATTTTATAATTATAATTTCAAAAGAAAACTAATCTATTTGAAAATATATATTTATATTTATATTCACAAGTAGTATTACAATTTTTTCTTTAATAACAAATGAAAATTTAAAATTTTAATACTAAGTTTTTGAAAAGTGTGCAAAAAGAAATTATTGAACTAATAAGAATATAGGTTAAGTTCTAAAATTTGTAGAAACGTTTATTTTGAAAATAATTAAATATACTATAATAAGAATATATTATTACTACTTACAAAAGAAAAAAAGAAAAAAATCCTTCAAAAAGTCTTCAAAACACTTATAAGAAGTGTATTAATTAAGATCATATAAGCAACCAAGAATTTTCCAACTTGTGCTATTTTTCCAAAAAAAAATAATACATATGTTATTTTCCACAATTTGTGCAAATAGTTTGAAAATTAATTTTATTAGTGTAAGAGAAATTTATAAAATATCTGAATATGCTAATTGTTCAATTCTAAGAATATACAAAACTATTTGAGTATTAATTATAAATATGGATGTTACTTCATACAACGTATTTTCCAATCTTTAATTTAAAGAAAAGAAACTTTCTATTCCATAGATCATATAAATAAAGTGCGATATACACACACATATATATATATATATATATATATATATAGAAAAAGAAGAGAGACTACACTTCTTAGAATTGACTGAGGTTATTAAATTACAACAAAAGAATCGCAATCCAATGGCCAACATAAAATTAAAAAAAAAAAAAAAAAAAAAAAACGGAATGTCTGTCTATGCCCTGAACACCATTTCTTGGGGGGGGGGGGGGGGGGGGGGGGGTAATGGGAAATGCCCCCCCAAGGGAAAAAAAAAAAAGGGCCCCGGCCCTTTTTAAGTTGGGAAAAAAGGACCGGTTTTTTGAAAAGGGGGCCTGCTTTCTTTTTTTCCTGCCGGCCCAACAAAAAAATGGGGCCCCCCGGGAGGGCCCCCGCCCCCTTGGGGGGGCCTTCCCCCCCTTGGCCTTGGGCGGGGGGCCTTGGCCCCTGGTTCCCACCCCCCCCAAGGGCATTAAAAGGGGGGGGGTTTTTGGGCCTGGGGGGGAACCCAACCTGGGGGAAAAAAAAATTTCCCCAAGAATTTTTTTTCCGCTTTTAAACAATTAGGTTTTTTTGGGTTTTCCGGGGGGAAAAAAAAAGGGCCCTTTTTTGGGG